GAGCTTGTTTTCTTTTAAAATAGGACGTGAGCGGGCCGGATTTCTGTAAAAACTGGCGAAATGCTAACGGTAACAGGGAGGAATAGGGACGGTAGAGCATGCAACCCCTCCCTTTGCCAACTGAGTCACAATTTTCCCCCCTTCTGTCTGCGAAAGACTGACTTAAAACCACCGCTGTTTATGTAATTCCGAAGAAAATCCAGTGTACCCAAAAAAAAAAAAATTAAAAAAAAAAAAAATCCTCCCCTGGCTTTTGTGAGCTGATCCCTTTCACGCCGGATTGTTTTCTGATGCCTCCTGCTCTTTTTTGAGCTTGAAAACATAAAATGTGGAATTGCAGCAGCAGCAAAAAGAAAAAGAAAAAAAAAAAAGCCCCACACATCACCTTTCTCAAGGTAAAATAATCATCTTTGCACGTTCCCAGCGGCCGTCACTCGCTTACTCACTGTCCTCCTCGGAATTAAACCCAAACCCAACCCGTGACACGAGTTCAAAAACCTGAGTTGAATGAATAAATCCGCCAAGAGCAAGCACCATTCCTTTAGAGAGGAAAAATTATTCCCTCGCAAGTCCCGGGGGATGAGTCAGTCACTCGCCCGGGTGCTCTGCCTCCGAAAACACGCCGGGAATGTTCTGGGGTGCCGGTACCGGGAGCTGGGCACTGAGTTTTCCGCCTTTTCGTGATGAAGGCGGGTGATGCCATCGAGTTTGGCTGAGGTCTTGTGAATTATTTCTCACTCTAGTGGGCAGTTGTGATTCGCACATAGGAAACTTCACGCTAAGAAGTTAATCTCCTTAGTTTAGGGCCATCTCCCTCAGAGTTGGGGCTGTTTTATCGCCTTTCTGCCTCCCAGGCTCACAGATGAGAGTTTTTGAGGGGAAATTATTATTCGTAGGCTGGCAATATGGTATTGCAGCAACCTCTGTAACAAACGCCAAGTAATACTTTCAAGTACGTGTCCAGCTTCTTGCTGCTCGTCTTTATTTTTTTGAAGAGTACTGTATTTTGAAATAGCGGTGTCACGCTTTGATTTAGGAGTAGGCTTTGCTGCTTTTAATTAAGGAGTCAGCAGTTCACTTTCCTAACGTACTTAGCTATGTGCGACTTGGAAGCATCTTCATAAAACTGTGACGTGGAAATTTTCCTCTGATTTTTTTTTTTCCCCCCCAATAATAAAGCTTTAAGCCCTCATAATAAATGCTGAATATTGTTTCTTGAGTCATTTTGTTAAAACCAATGATTTAGGGTGCGAGCATGCTGATGCATCCAGCAGAAAGCACTGTTAAAGTACTCCTGATGTGACTTTCGTTTGTCTTCTTCCCATTCCCACTAACAGCGTGTCAGCCAAGATCCAACCAATTAGTTAAAACTAGTAACGAAAAGTGGATTTAAAAGCCCCTCCCAGCCCCGCTCCTCGGTATCAGTTAAATAACAAATGCAAGTGACGGAATATACACGCTTGTTCTTCAGGGGGGGAGTTTTACCAAGTGTGTGTTTCAGCTGTGACAGGATTTCTAAGCGACAGCTTAATACGCGGTGTGTAAAGTTGTAATTTTTAGCGGAATGTTTTGAGAGGAGGTTGCAATGTCTTAATTTTAGTCTTGCTAGCAATGGGATGTGTGACTGTAAATTGCTCTTTCCAAATAAAGTTGTTTGATTGTGTTTAGGTGGCATTTTGATGAATTGTATCTTTTTAAAGAAACGATTGTGAGACTGAATAAGCAGTTCTTGTTTGGGTATTATTAGTCCCTGAAATGCCTGTTTTGAAAACCACTTTTAGTATCTGCTCGGAAAGTGAAAGTTGTATCTGTTAATGTGAGGAGGAATCATCCATCAAACAGAGTGTTCAAGATATGACTCATGCTAATTTGTTGCTCTCGCATTAAGGCTGGAGCGCAAAAATATTTTAGCCTCTGGCATTGGAAGTTCACAATGCCACATCCTACCACTCCGGGTCACGAATTACAGGTTTTTTTTGTTTCTGCCCCCCATCAAACAGAGTGTTCAAGATATGACTCATGCTAATTTGTTGCTCTCGCATTAAGGCTGGAGCGCAAAAATATTTTAGCCTCTGGCATTGGAAGTTCACAATGCCACATCCTACCACTCCGGGTCACGAATTACAGGTTTTTTTTGTTTACTGCCCCCCAGGAAAGAAAAAATTAGTGATAGAACGAGGCGAGAGCCTGTCCCAGGCAATCCAAATATCGCAAAAATGTTGACTTGACATTAATGCTAGGTCAAGTAAAACCGTGGTCTGTGCCTGAATAAAAATGACTCGCGAGAGGCGTGCAGCAGGTGCTGTCTTCCCTTCTCGAACAGTGAGTTAAAAAAAAAAATACTGCCTGATCCTTTTTTAAAAGGCTTTAATGCAGGCGGCCCTTGGAAACTGAGGAATACTGCTTGTTGCAAAGAGGGGTTGTTAGGAAGACAGCGCTGCTAATAACACCGGCTATCTGGGAACCAAGATAAGCAGACTTATATAAGCAGCGGCTCCGTAGCCTGTAGCCTTATGAATATACATTGTTTTATGTCCACCGTCTCTGTCGGTTCCGTAGGAGTAAGTGCATCATTACCTTGAAGTGCTGACGATTCTTTAAGGCTTAAAAATATCCATAAACTGCAGAAGTTTGAACCTTGTCCAAAGGATTTGGGCACTCTATTATCCGATCTGCTAGCTCTGCCTTTGAAACTGTATCTCTGGAGCTATCCTTAGGTGCTCTTAAGTGTCTTTTGATGCAGTTTAACAACATTGTTTAATGCTTATTTAAAGTTGGCTGTAAAACATTTCAGAGTTTTTTTTAAATTAAAATTGTATTTAAGTACACAACTTGCTTAATATTGTACTTTCAATGTGTATTGTACATACTCTATTCTTTTTATGCAATGTAGATGTCTCAATCGCTTTTTAAAAAAACACAGAAAATAAATGGTTGAAAATCCACAACTGTCACTGAAGTCAGGCAGAAGTTTAATGGAGGAGCTGGAGCTTGTGCCCTGCCCCGATTTAGCAGCGTAGCCTCCAGGAGAGTTCTGCGTTCGACTCCTCAGCAGTCGCTTCTGCAAACCAGCCCCGTGGGCTGTTGTTTGAGGTGGCTGCTGTGGCCGGGCGTGGGGTGGTATTGCTCAGCTTACCTGTTGCATCCCGAGCTTCGGCACAGATGGGACGTAACGTGCAGATAAAAGCGGACAGGCTGGCCTGGCTCCTAACCGTCCCCGCAAGTTTTGTCTCCTGTTATCCTACTGAATCCGAGCTTTCTCCCGTGAAACGTTTACCTGTCAGATAGGCTTGGAGTGTTAGGGAGCGCGTATTTGTAACCCACGTGGGTTAGTGTTTGCGTCCACCGGTGGCTTTTATCCAAAGATCACCGGCATTGCGCTTCTGAAAAATGAGTGGCTGAAGTGATGCGGGGCTTGTGCAGTGGCGGGAGCCCCCCTGCAGCCTGGGGAGAGTGGCACCGCGGTGGCTGTAGTCGCTGCTGCAATCGGGAGAGGCAAAGCGGCCGGAGCTCAGACACAACTAAGAAAAAGTCCCAAAGTGAGCTTCTAAAATACTGGCTTCTCCAGAGGATGCGATGAGGTGGATTCACGTAGGAATTTTATTAGCCTGAGTGCATTTCGTAAAGCTGTCCGTCCTCAACCAACGTAAAATTAGACAAGTTGGGGGTGTGAGCCAGCACAGTGTTTTACTCAGCTCTCGCAGCCTCAAGTCGTGTTATTTTGTGAAGGAAACCGGAGGGAAGAAGTCCTGGAAGGCTGCAGTACTGATCTAATGGGAATGCAAGTTTCCCCAAACTTAGCTTCAGACCTGGCATGCTGCGTTATTAACGAGACTGATTTAAAACTGGCCTGATGAGGCTGAGGCACATCTTGAATACAGATGCACTTAAACTGGCTTAAGGTGCTAGAGTGATTTATTTTAATGCTCCATTAGGCTGAATTGCTCTGTGTGGTTTCTAAACCACTTTAAAATTGTATCTGTTAGGGTTTTGTCCCAGTCTGACTGGATGAGTTTTAATAACAGTGTTTTCTGCCTTAGAATAAACAACGCCTAACACAAGCCTGGTGTAGAGCAGCCGGTAACAGCGCAGGCTGCGGCTCAGCTGAGCGGTGCTTGCCGCGGCACGCTCCTGGGGGGGTTCCCCTCTGTCTCTTCCCTTCAGCTTCTCCCACTGATTCTGTAGTTCGGTCAGTTGGTATTGGCTGTTTTGAAACAGCTTTCAAGTCTTTCTTTTTTTTCACGGCCCCCCTAACTGTGTTCTCCAGCATCTCTAGATGTCTACCAGTGCGTATCGATTAGCTTCTCTTCCTATCACAGAGTAGCTGCTGATGAAGAGAAAAAGAACATGTCGCTATTCTTATTAGTTTCCAGACGCAAAGAGTGCAGTGGTCAGTGTATAAATGCGGCGGGAACCTGCTAAATATAGAAATGTGGCTTTAGACAGCTCTCGATTCAGGTTGCTTTGGTTTCAGTGCTAACACACTGGTATGAACACGTTGTTTAAATAAGACGCCTTATCGCATCCTGGCGCTCTCTGGCTGCAGTTTAATTCTCAACGTGCACTAAGCTGGGCTTAAAGGTGGGGCGTTATTTTGCAACTCCCATCGGTACATTCATACTCTCCAAAGATAGTCCCAAGGTGGCATCTGATACGATCGTTAGCAAAACAAGTTATCTGTTATGTAAAGATCAAACGCCGTTAGTAAAAGATCTGACAAGCACCTAGTTGTTTTCCATAAGAAATGTTGCCCTCCGGAAACTTAATAATTATTTGGTTGTTATGGTGTGTGCCTTCCTACACTTCCCACAGAATCTGCACAGCCAGTGCGTTCGTTTAAAGCGCGAGCGGTTTGTCCTGTCCAAACCCCACATTATGTAACGTTTTCCAGTTGTTACTTCAATGGCTTTTGGTCTAGAATGTGCTTTCCTGTAGTTTGTAAATGTTCTCACCGTGTCAGAGTGAGCACCCATCAATAGAATTTAAGTGTGAATGTTTGGTTTTAGGCACACGAAGCCTCACATCACCAACAGCAGGCAGCACAGAACAGTTTGTTGCCTCTCCTGAGCTCTGCTGTTGAGCCACCCGATCAGAAGCCGATTCTGCCCTTACCAATAACGCAGAAACCTCAGCCTGCACCAGAAACATTAAAGGATGCTATTGTTGGGATTAAAAAGGAAAAACCTAAAACCTCCTTTGTGTGCACTTACTGCAGCAAAGCTTTCAGGGACAGCTACCATTTGAGGCGTCACGAGTCCTGCCACACAGGGATAAAGTTAGTGTCACGGCCAAAGAAAACTCCCACCACAATGGTGCCCCTTATCTCGACCATCGCTGGTGACAACAGCCGAAGTTCATTGGTTTCGACTATCGCAGGCATCCTGTCCACAGTCACTACGTCTTCCTCTGCCACCAACCCCAGCAGTAGTGCTGGCGCAACGGCTATGGCAGTGACTCAGACGGTGAAGAAGCCCAGCAAGCCCGTTAAGAAGAACCACGCTTGTGAGATGTGCGGAAAGGCCTTCAGGGATGTCTACCACCTCAACCGGCACAAGCTGTCCCACTCAGATGAAAAACCCTTTGAATGTCCAATTTGCAATCAGCGCTTCAAGAGGAAGGATCGCATGACCTACCACGTGAGGTCTCATGAAGGTGGCATCACGAAACCATACACCTGTGGTGTTTGTGGAAAAGGCTTCTCGAGGTACCATGTAGAAAATCCCAGGCGAGCTCAAGTATTGGCTTTTCATAACCAAGAAGGGTTAAGCTATCGTAGCCAGGGGCTAGGAGAACCAGACATCTTAGAAGATTGGTGAGGGGATAAAGAGCCTTGTTTACCTCTAGGGCGTGGGTCTCGGTCTGAGCCAGATTGGCAGTGGCCGAAAGTGGTCGCTCTTTTATGAGAATGTTTTGAAGTGATTTCGCGACCTCATCCGGGTCTCGAAGGACACGTGTCTGTGTCACTGGTGGTGACCACGGAGCCCCTTTAGCAGCCTTTGCAAAGGTCAATGACCGAATGGGGCACGGCAGGCAAATGTCTCCTGGTCTGGGAGCGAGGTTGAGGCGTACTGACAGAGCATTGTGGGGGAGCTTGCATTGCTGCTGGCTGTATTTGTATCTGTGCTTGCAACAGAGAAAACTTCAGCCTTTAGAGCTGTTGATCTGTCACTTTCACACGCGGTACGACCAAACGTACCATTTTCAGGTGTGTGAGAACAACACGGTTAAGTTTTAAACTGCAGGTTGGGTCTCAGCGTAACTCTGCGTTACTCTAGCTGAAAGCCACCGCGTAGGTAAGGGGAGTGTATTTATTCTTGCCGTGCAGAGGGATGCGGGCGGCAAGGGGTCATCAGAGCAGTGTTCAGCACCGCTAGCCACGGTGTCGTTACTATGTATTTGTAACAGTATGCATTCTCTTTTCTGTTCCTCTCTTTTTTGCAGGCCTGATCATTTAAGCTGTCACGTTAAACATGTTCACTCAACAGAGAGACCCTTCAAATGCCAAGTAAGGGCTAAAATGATTTATTAAGAACAATATGTTATTGTAGCATTAGAATCTCAGGTGAATAATCGTTCCAGAACTGTATTTGCCCCTGGACTTTTCTTTGAAAAGCAAGTTTAGGAATAAAGTCCCATCTGCCTTACATCCCAGCAGCACTGGGATGTCCACGTAAGCGAAGAGGCAGTTGAAAAGGATGCTGCGGCTAACTTCTTCAGGAAGATGAGAGGCTTTTTGCCTCCTTGGAGAACAACATAGGTGCACTGTTTTATGATTCGCTTAACTTAGTAGTAGGATTGTAACAGCGTCCTCAGCTCAGCGCTGATTACTGGAGTAATGTGTGCAATGTGTTTCTCAGCACATTTAAATTAAATTAAATATGTTTCTCAGTATATCCATTTAAAATGGATTGGAATAGTTGATTCTGGATCTGTTATTTTGCTGGAAGGTGAAAGCAAGTTGTCAAAAGTTGATGACTGAGTATAACAGAAGTAACTTGACTGCCCTTGAATAATTAACTGTTTTGCTTGGAATATCCATGCTTGTTCCAACCTGTGTTTTAGTGACTCATCATATTAAATAAAAGTCTTGTGTAAAAAGAATAGCATTAGAAAAAGGCTTTGTTTCCTTGTTCCGATTTGGATGGGAACAGAAGTAATTGAGCAATTTAAGATATCAAGTTCATGTTTGTACAGTAAAATTGTATCAGAAACCAACTTTGCCTGTTCTAGGTTTTTTTCATAAGCTACCTCTTGCTTTGGTAGGTAAGGGAACCTGCTATTTTACGAAAGTTCAAGTAGTATAGAGCATGATTTTTGTCCTAATTGTCGCAGACGCCAGCTTCCATTTTCAGTCTGTTTAGTAGTTTGATTTTGGTTTCTGTATAAATACAGGTAAAACTTAAGGTTGTCAGTAAACTTGGGATACTGTTTGCACCCACGAGGTAAAATAGGCTTACAGTGGGCATGTAGTTCATACTGTAACGATGCTGTCTGCACTTCACGTGTCACTGTTGTTCTTCATATAGACGTGCACTGCTGCCTTTGCCACCAAAGACAGACTGCGGACACACATGGTGCGCCATGAAGGAAAGGTATCGTGTAATATCTGTGGTAAACTTCTGAGTGCAGCATATATCACCAGCCACTTAAAGACACACGGGCAGAGCCAAAGTATCAACTGTAATACCTGTAAACAAGGCATCAATAAAAGTAGGTGAACGTTTTAAAAACATTTCTAATAACAATGTGTTTGCAAAGGGAATTGCCTTTGATTACATTAGAATGCAAAAACATACCCATCAGTCTGGGTGTTCACACCTATTAAAAATAGATATTTGATAACAGGATCTTCTTCAGCTCAAGAATCGGCATATGTGGAATTGGTTTGCTGCTAGACTGTGCTCTTGTATCCCTCAGGAATGCTCTGCAGTTTGTGAGAATAACCCGTCTCTTGAAGAAAAGAGTTCCCAAGTTTTCTCAGCTTCTAAGTACAGGGATACTTCCTGAACTGTAGAGGCCTAAAAGTCCAACAGATAATTCTGGAGATTTTAGAATAGTTAAGAACTGCTGAGGTTTGCCAAGTTTCAGGCTTGAAGCCTCATCTAAAGCTCATCAAAATTAGGAGAAAGATTGCTCTGCTTTCCCTGAGCTTTGACCCCAGGGCTCAATGATTCCTCCCTCTGGCAGTAGCCGACAAGAAAAGCCTTTAAATCCAGCCCTGGTATGTTTGGGGCATTAATGGTATTTGATTGGTGGTGTGCAGGAGTTCAGATGAGATGTTCATAATAGCTCCTTCTAGTTTTAAAACTCTGTGAAAGTGCTGAAGCCTGAACCCGGGAGTGCCTAGTAAGCAAACGAAGACTTGACTTTCAAATCTTCCCTATTAAAATACCCGTAACTTACGTTAACCCGCATGATTAGTGATATAAGATGGGTTTTCAGGGGACTGTCTTTGGAAACTTTGTCCTTAAAGCCTTGTAAACAGTATTAATTTACAACATCTTCGCAGTTCCTGTTAGTTCTGGATAATTTGAAGGTACTAGGCATGTCTAAAATGCCTGATTGTTGAGCTTAATACGAATTTTGGATGTGAAGTATTTTTCAAGGTATAGGGTTACAGCTCTGGCTTCCCAAACCAGTTGGGTGGTGCTAAGCCAGTTCACATAAGGCATTTGTTAGAGGTGGAAATGATGAGCTGTAATGTGGCCAGAGTAGGAAGTAACATGCTGTTCTGTGATGTAAAGGTAAACTGAAAATTTTAAGTCATACTTGCAATAGAAAGTAATAAGGTGGGTTTTTTTGTGGTTTTTGGGTTTGGTTTTTTTTTTTTTTTAAACTGGAGGTGAGATTTATTAAATGTGGAATCAGGTAACTAGCTTGAATTCTAGACACTCATTGTGGTTTTTGATTTCGTTCTTCCTAAAACACAAACAAAATAATCAGAAAGGAAGCTCATTTTTGGCAGTCCAAGCAGATGTTCCTGACTTATATTTTGGATTTTAGATCTTGGAAAAGTAGTTTTATAAAGCACAGAATTAATTATACGGTTTTAAACACCTCTGTGATTTTTGCTCTTGGAATCCTGTGAGATTCCACACACTCTTTATGGAAGAAGCCTTTGTCATCTCAGCAGAAAACAGAGTAACTTTTCAGGGTGAATTTGTGTTCTTACTTAATTGGCATAGCATGCATGAGTGAAGAGACCAGCAATCAGAAGCAGCAACAGCAGCAGCAGCAGCAGCAACAACAACAACAGCAGCAGCAGCAGCAACAACAACAACAACAGCAACAACAACAGCAACAGCAGCAACAGCAGCAGCAGCACGTAACAAGTTGGCCTGGAAAGCAGGTAGAGACCCTGAGATTATGGGAAGAGGCCGTCAAAGCGCGGAAGAAAGGTAAAACAAAACAATACTTACCGTCTTGGTTTTATAAGATGCTGGAGTTGACAGTTATATAGGGAGTTCAGGATGTCAGAAAAGGATGTCTTATGTGAAAATTGCATTCTTGATGTCAGTAGTAGTAGCAGGAGGATAACATGACCAAAATTGCGCTGTTGTAAATGAATTCCTTATTACTTACTTCCCTTTGGTCTCTGTGCTTGAATGTGTACGTAGCAGTCATCAATTATAAAGGGATGTTTGTGTCTGCTCCGAGGCAAGAGTGTGTTTTTTGACTTGCATGTGGTTTTTTCTGTGTTTATGCATATTTACCAGTTGTTAACTTGTGTGCATATATATATGTATATATCCACACACAACACCCTCTGTTGCAT